CTTTATAAGAAGCTGTGCACCAACTGCACTTCTCTGCATAGCTGGTTTGGTACTCCCGAGATTGTTCACTCTCTTGCTACCCACACTTAGGTCTCTCTCTGCTGTTCCACTCTCCTAGTAGAAGGGCCTCCCTATGGAAATGAGAAAGGATCTGACTTTGCCAAGTTTTTGAAAGAAATATAAGACAGTTCTTCTTCTGACGGTATCTGGCTGACTCCTTTATAGAAGCATAGCCACAACTGAGACCTTTCTGTAGAACTGATCTGAGATTTATGACTCTCTTCTAGTTGTAGTTATACAGTTATGAATGTGTTTGCAGCTGTTAGTTATCTTTGAGCAGCTCTGTTGGGCCAAAAAGCTATTTGCAGCTGTTAGTTATCTTTGAGCAGCATGTTGTAAGCTCTGTTGGGCCAAAAAGCAGAACAGAAGCATTTTCATAAATAAAGTTGCCTTATACCAACAGAGTCAGAAGAGAGGAAAAATAACCAAAGTGTGCACAGGGGAGAGGTGGAGAGGCCAGTAACTGATCCCCTGAGCTTCTGCATGCAATGCATGTGCTCTTCCAATGCACTATGGACCCTAGCCATAAACAGTAACTGATGCAGGTTAGGAAGAAACAAATGGTAACAATACCTGGGGGAGTTCCATGTGCCTTATGCAGAGATACTGGGATGCTACAGGCCCCTAGCTACCTGAATCACCACTCCACCTCCCCTTCTCCCCAAACAGGGCAACTCTCCTAGACTCTCCCAGCAAAGTCACTGAAAGTGTTCCTTACCAAATCAAGATCCTCTTTGGGTACAGTGTCAAGCTTTGCTATTTTCCCTTGGAACTTCTTGGAAAGGAAGGATGATACTTCTCGGTCACAACCCTAGAAAGACCACTGCCTATTAGAGGGGCTACGCATAGTTTTACCCATGAGAACAACAGATTTCAAAGTTTCTATCCCCTGAAACTTCCTGCAAGCATGCTGCAGAACCTGTACATATAGCAGAAGCTTGTGGTACACTTTCTAGGGTGCAGCATCAGTTCATGTGGAACACTGGCCAGGCCTGCTGGACTTCTCTATTGCCCCCTGTGAACTGAAAGGACACCCCAGAATGCGCCCAATACATCCTGTACTTAAACAATGAAGGTAAGAAGAGGAGATTGGATTTATACCCCGCCCTTCACTACCCAAAGGTGTTTCAGAGCGGCTTACAATCTCCTTTCCCTTCCTCTCTCCACAACAGACACCCTGTGAGGTAGGTGGGGCTGAGAGAGCTCTTGACAGAAACTGCTCTTTTTCAAGAACAGCTCTTATCAAAGCTACGGCTTGCCCAAGGCCATCCATCCAGGTGCAAGTGGAGGAGTGGGGAATCAAACCTGTTTCTCCCAGATTAGAGTCCACGCACTCAACCACTACACCAAACTGGTAAGACAGGTAGAAGTTGGTAGGCAAGTTTTCATGGTTCAGCCTGACTAACCTTCGTACTGAGGAATTCCTGATAAACTTCCAAGAAGCTGCACCTCCCATGGCCCTCTGGAACATTGTTTGAAAACGATTACAGACAAATGCAGGGTCCTGTCCATTAGACTAGAGCTTCTGAGTCAGCTGTGATTGCATACACACAGACATAAACATAAACACCCTCCCTATAAAGCATATTCACATTTTGAAGCAATTTAATTGGCTCCAGAGAACTTTCAGACCAATAAAGGTGTGCAGTTTTAGGAGTGGGCCAAGAAATTTATACCAACCTTTCGGGTTGCAATATAGAAATACGGCCTATAGGGCAATGCCACCTAGAAAAGAGCAAAGATGGTGAGACACAAGCACACTAAACAACAACAAAAAAGGAGAGACATTTTTCTTCCATGAGCTTTGCAATGTCCACCTCTTAGAGCTCTGTTAAAATGCTGTTTCCCCCCTCCATGAATGAAAGGGAGGTGTGAAAAAGTTGACCCTCTCAGCATTCTATTCAGTTTTTCATGAAATGGGGAAAAATCTAACTGTGCAGAGAACAGCATTTAAGTGACAAAGGACAAGAGAAGTAAAGCAAAATAAATCCCATGTAGAGGACAAGTAACTAATTTAGAGGGTATGCTTATTCACAGCAGGCTAGAGGACAAACCTCTCGGATACTCCTTTCCTTTGATATCATACCCTGTTCCCCTCCTTCTTAAACAGCTACTCACCTTAAACCTACTCCCATCCTCCTGAATGAAATAATAGTCCACAGCACTGACCAAGCGTTTATCTTCATCCAAAACTTCTGTCTAGAACAGAGAATGCCACTGAATGCAACCAATGAAACAGACAGCTCTACTACCCACCCCCAAGGATCTATCTAAACCTTGAGAATTAGTGTAAGAGCAAAAAGATTCTTAAACTCCACACAAGTTTTTAATATTTTTTTCCAGAAAGGAGAGACAGAAAAATGCCTTTTATGAAATGGGGTCGGTGGGTGGGCAGTGCCTACCCCCGATGCTCTCAATGAATAGTAAGTAGTTCCATTTTAGAGTCTTTTCTTCATTAACTTTTTCAATAAAATAATCTTAAACTTAATTTATCAATTACACCCTGTATAGCTACTTCTAGTGAAGTAAAGTGATCCTTATTAATTTCATTTCCTATCAAGGTCAATGTCTGGATGCTGGCTCCCTTAGCTTGTGGGAAGCAATGACGCTTTGCCCTCCCTCCACAGCAACCACAGGAAATCAAAGTCATTTTGGCATTCAGCAGAAAAAATGTCAGTGGAACTCTAGAGAGGAGACATTAAAGGAAAAGTAAAAACAGTTTCATACTGGATGCATGTTGATCAACCAGCCTGTTCTCTCTGCAGGTTCCTTCATCCTTTCAAACCCAAACTGTCCATCTATCTTGTCTGTCCATTGGCTGCGCTCCAAGCGCCTCAGGGCAGAGAGTGAGGAGCCATCATCACTGTGGCAAGAGAATGCAAAAAAATATCAGTACCTCATTGGCAAAATCACTTCAACAGTGGAGCCAGTAAACACTTAAAAAACAACAACAGTTGCGGCCCGTGTACACCACAATTCCCACATAAGTACAGAAAAGCTGGAAAACAACACAGGCTGCAGAATATAGCTGACCAAGAAATCTCAACTCTCTTTTTCTTTCATTTAAAAGAAAGTTTCTAGCACAAGGTTGCAAATATATTCTCTTGCATGACCACTGAGCATGATCAGAGTGCATCCAGTCGCAGAAAGTGCATAAGCACTAAGCCTCATGCATGTTCACCTGATACAATGTGCACAGCATAAGCAGAGGATTTTGCTTATTAATCAGTCATAATACACGTTCTCCGTTATGTACATGGACTGGGAAACACTTGAAATCCTTATATATTTCATCATCTGCTGGCTGTACAATTTATTTATTACGGTAACTGGACAACACACACAATTGTTCTTGCTGCCAATCTTGCACAAGTTGCCAACAGGCCTCCACTTGGGCTCATTACAAACACACATACCCCAATTCTGATGCCAAAGTCTGCTTTTCTTTGCTGTGTTAGCCTCTGCCAAGGAAAAGTTCTATCCAGTTTATACCAAAAGGTTCTTCCCTCTGATTGACTCAAACCCTCTGATTGACTCAAACAGTTTACACCAAAAGGTTCTTCCCTCTGATTGACTCAAACTGGACTATTTAGAATTGTCTACTGAAGTCACACTCCTATGTCACCAGTCAGCCTAAGATTAGAGATGTGCACCATGGAAAAAAGTTGGCATTTTTCAAATCTGGATATCAGGGAGCCAAAAAAAATCACTATGCAGTTATTTGGGTTGCAAATAGCAGTTTGGTATTTTGATCAGTTTTCCCCCACCTCAGGTTTCTGATATTATTATGCTCTATTATGTCCCATAGGGAATCTTTGTTGGGAGCTGGAGGGGCTGCGTTTTAAGCTAATGATAACAAGATTGCCGCAGAGCTGCTGGTGCCTGTCCACTGAATAGCTGCCTAGGTTCAAGTGTACTGGACCAATAGGCTGGCTCTATGGGCCCCTGAACAGGGTGCCCCCACCCATCCTGGGTGAACATTGTCAGCCTAACCTACTTCATAGGGTTGATGTGAGGATAAAATGGAGGAGAGGAGAACATATAAGCCTCTTTGGTCCCCACTAGGGAGACGGTGGGGTATAAAGAAAGTAAATAAGTATTCAAGGACACTACTTCACGTATTGAATGATAAAGCGGGACTAGCACCAGCAAAGACCAGACCCCCAGAATTCAGCTCCACCTCATTCTTGAGCCGGGGGGAGGAACACTTCACAGATGCTCAGAGACCAAGAAATACTGGTTGAGATCAAGAACGTTTGCAGCTTGGAGAGCAGACCCCCTCCCCGGCACTCTGCACATGCACAGCCGTGCCCCCTCAACCATCTCACCGCGGCGTCTCTTCGTCGGCGTCCCCAGCGGGGGCGGCCCGCTGCCAGCGGCGGCCCCCGCCGCCCTTCTTCTGAGCCATCCCAGCCAAGACCTGCCTACTGCCTGAGTCCCTCTCAGAGTTTCGCGCGCTTAGGGAAACCTCGCGAGACGTACCATAACTCTCACGCGATTTACTATTACGAACGGCCGGGCATGCCAAGCTAAGACAGCGTTCGTGCATCACCACCTATCACGACCCGGTTTCTGGGCCCGCCCCCCTGCTTTCCATCCAATGGGATTAAAGGTAGCCGCCCACTTCCGTGTCTTTTGTTGTCTCAAGTACTTGCGATGCCTGGCAACGCCCCCGACGGCTCTTTCTCCTTCTCCCTTGCAACTCTCCAGATTGGCCGACGGGATTATATTAATAGCAAGAGCAGTCATTCTTCATTCTCTTTATTTAGACCCACGGGTGGGAAGGTGGGTGCCCGCCCCCTATTACCCATCTATAGCACATAAAAACGTTTAATCCCGCCCCTCAGAGAGAAAAGTATTCGCCTTTCCTCAGCCTGGGTTTGCCTCCTTTTCTTGCCCCGCCCCCTTACCCAGTGTATTCTCTTCCCCTTTCCCTGATTGGCTAATATTGTGGGTAGATGCCACGCGGGGGTGATGCGGGGTTGTCCGAAGGGACCCGGAGAAAAAGACCTTTGATTCTTATTGGGGCAAGGAGGGTTGAGCGCATGCTCAGTGGCTGTGCTTCCTCCGCTCGGGTCTGCGCGATGTCTCCGGTATTTTCCAAGCCCGAATCGGGGCCCCTGCCCCAGAAGTTGCTCGCGCGTTACTTGCTCCTGCTGCGCCTCTACCCGGTGCTCACTAAAGCCGTGTCCAGGTGCGTGTAAAGATTAGCCGGGTCTGCAGTTCTGAGTTCGCTTCCCTGGTTGGGAGTAAAGACCTATCGAACTCCATGGGACTTACTTCCGAGTAGGCATGCAGCCGTGTCCTGATGGAATCCCAAAGTTGCTGCCGTTATGCATGCTTGGCTGGGAACAAGATTCTCTGGACACTGTGGGCCTTACTTCCGAGTAAATCTGCTTACCAGTACTTTCCCTTTCCCCCCTTTCCCTTTGTAATTTCTGTTGCGTCTCCGTTGCGTTGAAGAATGCGGTGCCTGGTACCCTCCCACGGCAGCTTCCCTATCCCTGACTGCGGGCTGTCACAAAATGGACTTCTGCCCTTGCTGGGAGTGGAATGCGAGGACCAACTCGCGTGTTCCAAACCCCGCAGCATCGACCTCAGGCATTGTTGAGTCCCCATGGAGTTTCGGGCAGCTTGAATCAACGGAAAACAATCGTAAACCCCGCTTATCCTAAGGAGCAGGTTTACTGTCATGAGAGCCCCCACCTTCAAATCCCCACTTTCAACGGGACTTCATTTATTAATAAATACGCTCACAGTTCAATCGTATGCATGTCTAATCAGGAAAAGCCCTGTTATATTCAGTGAGGCTTACTGCTGGATAAATATGCATAACAGTTGTAAATTATACAAAACATACAACCTGACCCCAGCAGGTTTACTCAGCAATAAGACCCACTTAATTCCAAGGGATTTAATTTCTCGGGGAAGTAATGCTGCAGCTCTAAGTAAAATTTGCAGTTTAAACTTACGCATGTTTACTCAGGAGTGAGTTCTGCTGTGTTCAGTGGGGCTTACTCCCAAGAAAGTGTGCATAAGCTTGGAGTCTTATTTTTTTAAAATCTGTTTTAATTCTGGCACTTGTGCCTCGTTGTTAGCCACACTGAGCCTTCGGGGAGGGCGGGATATAAATCCATTTAAAAAACAAAAAAACAAAAAACCCCAGTTCAGTTCCTTATTTGGTGCACTGAGTTCAAGGGGACTTAAAACTAGTGTACTTGGCATTGTGTCCTTGCTTTCTGATTGAGGAGGGGCTGCATGTTTAGGCAGGGGCAGTGGCTCAGTGGTAGAGCATCTGCTTGGTATGCAGAAGGTCCCAGGTTCAATCCCAGGCATCTCCCAGTAAGGGGATCAGGTAATCAGTGGGTTGAAAGACCTCTGCCTAAGATCATGGGGAGCTGCTGCCAGTTTGAGTTGATGATACTGATCTTGCTGGATTAAAGGTCTGATTCTGTATAAGGCAGCTTTGTGTGTTCGTGTTTACTGAGAAGTAAGTCCCACCATGCTGAATGGGGATTACTTACAAGTAAGGATGTTTAAGGGGAGGGGCAAGTCTTAATGTTAGCCTTTTTGGTTGGAAGAAAGTTTCCTGGAAAACGTGACTTAGGATTTGTTGCAAAGCATGCATGGCTTAGAGATTTATTCTTGGGGTTTTGAAAGTTGACACTTGTCCACAGATTTCATACTTGGATAGAGCAAATTTAGAGTCCAGTGGCACCTTTTAAGACCAACAAAGGCTCATACCTTCAATAAACCGTTGGCCTTAAAGGTGCCACTGGACTCTAAATTTGTTCTACTGCTTCAGACTAACACGGCTGCCCACCTGGATCTATAGTTGGATAGGAGAGTTATTAACTCTAGCAACACACTGCAAGACAAGTGGGATTCTTTAGAAGTATTCAGGTTGTTTGGGCAAGCTGCCTTGCAATGTTTTACCCATCGGGGTTCAGCATCCGTAAGGAAATATGGTGGCCAGCCAATGATCGCCATGTTCTGTAAGTACCTCGAACACCTGAGAGATGTCTGGCCCACTTTGAAGATTAGGTATCATTGCCCTAGCATAATTGGCTCCTCTTCTCTATAATGACTACTAGTCTTTCCTCCCAACGGCATGGATCCATGATGTTATGGTATGCGGCACGAGGGAATGTGGGAGCAAAGCGTTCGGGGTGTCTCTGGTTGTTGCAAGCTACCCGTGTCTCTTAAGCATCAGCAGGTGCAGCTCCTTGAGCTTTTCCACAAGTAGAAGCATGTCACTGAGTGAGGCTGCCAAATGCAAAACCCTTGCAGGGTGGGGACTGGTGTCTGCGCCGCTGCCTTAGCACGTGATCTTTTTAATCTTTCCTGTGTGGGAGTTGGGGTGTTTGGGCCCTCCTCTGGCTTCTTGCGCATGAAGAAGTTGCTTCACCTTCTGCTCCCCTTTTGCTTTCTTAGGACAGAAATGGGAGAAAAGCTGGGGGGGGGGGAGGTGATGCACCTCACGGAGCTCTGCTCTATCTAGCCCAGAGCTGTCTCCTCTGACTGGCAGTGGCCCTCTGGGGGTGGAGCTCTTTCCTGACCACGCTGTTTGCAATCCTGACGGTGCCAGCCATACTGGGATGTTCTGAACGCAAAGCCCCTGCTTTACCCCTGCGTGGTAGCCCCTCCAGTTTGGTGTAGTGGTTAAGTGTGCGGACTCTAATCTGGGAGAACCGGGTTTGATTCCCCACTCCTCCACTGCACCTGCTGATGTGACCTTGGGTCAGTCACAAGCTCTGGCACAGCTGTCCTTGAAAAAGAGCAGTTTGTGTCAGAGTTCTCTCAGCCCCACCCACCTCACAGGGTGTCTGTTGTGGGTTGGGGAAGGGAAAGGAGTTTGTAAGCCGCTCTGAGACTCCAAGTGAAGGGCGGGGTATAAATCCAATCTCTTCTCTTCTTCTTCTCCCTTGAGAGCCATTATTCTATAAGGGTATTTCCCAATCACGTTCCTTGCACGTATTCTGATTTATGATGTTCCTCCCTGTGTGAGTAATAACTCCTTTTACGCAATCGTTTGGCTGGAGGTAATAAGCTCTCCATTGGCTTATGCTT